TGATGATGATGATGATGATGATGACTGTATTACATGTGATGATAATGATTGTGGTGGTTGCACACATGATGGTTTTGATGGTGGCATTGACAATAACTGATAAAGTGGTGAAGATGACGCAAGTGAAGATGATGATGATGACTGAGGCATCCCTGGAGCAAATGTTACTGATGATGACCCAGCTGCTGATGACAAAGATGATGTAAATGATGATTTTGTTGATGGCAGAGTGGTTGAAAGTGGCACACTATAAACTTGAGACTGGATACTTGGATGTGGAAGCAGTGTTCTTCCACCTTGGTGATTTACTGATGGTGCAGGTGCAATCAGTCTTAGAGGTACACTTTGCTGTGATATATTCACACTTTTCACTTGATCTATACCTTTACTGGCATTAGATGATGATGAAGATAATGCAATAGATGGAGCTAATGTTTGCAGACTTCTTGGGATTAATTCCTTCTGTGATAAACTCTGTGAAGCACCAACTGTCTGTTTTTGATTGACAGTCGACACCCCTCGTACTTGTTGATGAATTGCTGCATCTTGTAACAACTGAACCATGCTACTTCCCTGGGATTTTTTCACTCCAGTTCCCGTTCCCATTCCATTCCCATTGCCATTTGAATGCAAGGAAGCAAACGACTGAAGTAATTTGACAGCTGAGAGATCAATTGTTGACAGGTTAACTGGTTCTCCAGCAGCAACACCAGGTATGTTCCCTGCCGATGTCTCCTGCGGATTCGTCCCCTGCAACAGCTCACCAACTTGACAATTTTGGCTGTTCAGCGTCTTCATTCTCTGTCTACCAGCTTTAWTTGATGTCGTTTTTGAAACATTCCTCTTTTGCTTTGCAGGCTTGGATTTCTTAGGTTTCCCTATGGGTGCCGTTGGTYGTTGATCTAGAAACTGAAGTGATCGCACATGTCCTGGACCACCTAATCCTGAATCTAACTCACCATCCACACAGGAACCAATCAATGGGTTTTCTTTGTGCTGTTTATGTACAAATTCAGGTGTGACTTCTTTTGGTGAAATAGGATGTAGATTATCCAGAGAAGATGTAGTTGATGTGGATGTTACACACTTTGATGGGCTACTGGCAAGTAACAGGAGTGATTCTGTAACTGTTGATATTGCTGTTGAAAAAAGATAAATAGAGGATATTACATGGGCACTTGGAGATACGAATTTTATCTTCGAGTGTTCAATTTGTTATATCTCACGAGTGAGCGCAGCGAACAAGTGAGATATCTAAATTAAACACGAGAAGATAAAATTCGTATCTTCAAGCTGCCATGTAATGTTCTGTTTATTATAGATATTGATGAAACTTAAATAAATCAAAAGCTCAAAAATTCTTTAAAAAAATATGTTACTATGTCAACAGCGATATCTTCACGTGTGAAAGATATGGTATTTTCCACTGGTGAAAGATATCAAGTTTTCACACTAGAGAAAACCTGGTATTTCATCGATATCTATATAATAAATTTAAAAAAATAGTCATCCTCACTAACAAGTGGTACTGACAAATTAAATAGGGCTTTCAGAATAAGCCAGCAGCTGAGCTCTGGCAGGTGCTTAGAAGTTAACTGCTGGCTAGTTTTTCTTTTTCTTAAAAAAAAATATCATCAATCTATTGGATCACAGACAGCTGCTTAAGACTTATAACCACCTACTCCTAAACATTCTGAAAGCCCTGACAAATAAATGTTTTAGGAGCATAGCACTTAATAGCCAGTGGCTAACAAACCTGTGGCCCTTGATCCATGATCAAATTGGGATTTAGAAGTTGATTTTGTTGAAGGGTGGAAAACTGGAGAACCCGGAGAAAAATCCTCGTAAACGAGAGATTCAACTAGGATCTCTACTATTATTAAAGGCACTCATACCTGAAACATTGTTATCAGGGGATGAGGAATGTGTAGTGCTGGTAGTACTCCAGGTAGATACAGGCTCTACAGAAGAACAAGCAGTGACAGTAGGACATCCACTAGACACTGGTTCAGAATAGGAAGTACATGTTGCAACAGCTTGAGAACTCTTGGCTGGACTTGCTGTTTTGACTGCATCTGAAATGGTTAGAAGAAAATCAAGGTTTGATCTTTGCAAGAATTATGGAAAATAAAAAATCTTCAATTTAACGAACCAGCTCTGAAACGACCTCTGGGATGATCTAAGTCAGGGCATGGCTAACTCACAGATAGAACCCTGAAACAACCTCTGGGCTGATCAAAGTCAGGACACGGCTAACTCACAGGTTGAACCCTGAAACAACCTCTGGGCTGATCTAAGYCAGGACACGGCTAACTCACAGATTGAACCCTGAAACAACTTTTGGGGTCATCTACATCAGGGAACAGCTAACTCACAGATCAAATTGACCCAAGAGAGAGCCAAAAGGTTGTGCCAGTGTTCAATAAAATTGAAATTGGTGAGAACTAATTTCAACATTACCTGTTGAAAGTAAATCGAAAAGAGYGTCAAATGCTGGATCTGCTTCCATCAAGTTTAATATGTCATCCACTGGAACTTGTGGATCATCATGATGATTGGAAGCTGCATCATCACCTTTACTTGAAGGCACTTGACTGGAATCTGACAGCACTTCTGTTGCAGCCTCATTTTGTTTTGTACTGGGATAAACAAAAGAGGAAAGGGATTTTTAACAGAGGCATTTCAACCAATTTATAAGCTGATTTTAGTGGAGGGAGGAAACTGTAGAACTTGGGAAAAACCCTCAAAGCACAGGAGAGAACCAAAAAAAAAAACAATTCTACTCTTCTAAATGTGTTTGTACATTGAAATAGTCATTAGAAAATTATGTTCCTTCCACACATATTTAAACTTTTGCACTACTAGTTACCCCGATGATGCACTAGTTGTGCGAAAGCTTGGCTAATAAAATTTTTAAATATATGTGAAAAAAACATAATTTTCTAACTCTACTCTTAAAGAGCACCAAGCCTGACAGGACTAAAATCAGGTTGGAGTGGTGAGAGGCGATGCATTAAAGGTATGTGCCACCCATGCTTCCTACAATGCCACGTGTGCTTACCTGCCAACAACTTTGTTGATATTTTCTGCCAGTTTCTCCTGCAGTGAAGGAGTGCTGAGGAATGTGTCTAGAAGGAGCTGAAATAAGAAAATGAAAAGAAGTTATTTTTGTTATTCTACACAAAACCTACAGTGTACAATGTCTTATCCTAAATGACCTGACTTTGATCAGCCCCTGAGATGTTTTTTTCAGGGTTTGATCTCTGACTGTAGCCGTGCCCTGACTTTAGACCCTGACTTTATGATCAGTCCAGAGGTTGTTTCAGGGTTCAATCTGTGAGTTAGCCATGCCCTGACTTAGATCAGCACAGAGGTTGTTCCAAGGTTTAATCTGTGAGTTAACCATGCCCTGACTTAGATCAGCCCAGAGGTTGTTTCAGGGTTGGATCTTTGAGTTAGCTGAGTCCTGACATAGATCAGCTCAGAGGTTGTTTCAGGGTTCGATCTGTGAGTGAGCCATGCCCTGACTTAGATGACAGCCTAGAGGTTGTTTCAGGGTTTGATCTGTGAGTTAGCCGTGCCCTGGTTTCGATTAGCCTTGAGGTTGTTTCAGGGTTTGATCTCTGAGTTAACCATGTCCTGACTTTGATTAAACCAGAGGTTGGTTCAGGGTTAAATCTATGAGTTAGCCATGCCCTGACGTTGATCAGCCCAGAGTTCATTTCAGAGTATTGATAAAATTTGAAGGATTTTTTGAGTGTGTCAAAAAAACGAGCATAAAATAAAATCTACATCTACAAGGGTTGAAGTACTTACTGGCATAGCAGCATCAATGTCAAGGTTACCACCATCCAACAACTGCTGGAGGTCAAAAGTGTTGTCTGCCGGCACACCAGGATCAGGGTCTACCTGAGCTATCCTGTGAAATTTAAATGTCAATTATTAATTAAAAATTGATAATAATAAATTAACGCAATGAGCCAGTCACATACAGCTCAAGCCGCATATACACTCAATTGAAGAATTGTTGTCGGGTTCAGAAACATAGAACATAAAAGCTGAGACCCAAACGGCAGATGGGAAATGACATAATTATATTATAATTTATTCATTTGCACCATCCATGCAGTTTTAGAATGCCAAACGCGTACTAAAAACAGTGGATGATGCCATGGGTCGCCGATCACAGCATGCATCTAATTAACGTACTTCCCATGTGCATTTCGGTCTCAGCTTCTATGTTATATGTTTCTGAACCCGACAATGATTCTTCAATTCAATTGAGTGTATACACAAGAAGTCCATCTTTAAGCAAAGGAATAATTAAAAAAGCATAAAGAATTTCTATGCATTTACTAAAAATTAACACAATTCTTCAAGCAGAAATTGCACATTTTTATGCAAAATAGGACTAGAAAATGCATTTCAAAATATTTTTTTATAAGAATTGACTGACACCCACAACACAATGATGGGATCCCAAATGTGTACCAGGACTCACTTCACTTGTGYTGACAAGGGCTTCCTAAATATTGATTGGCACCCACAACACAATGCTTGTGATCCAAATATGTCCCAGGACTCACTTCACTTGTGTTGACAAGGGCTTCCTAAATATTGATTGGCACCCACAACACAATGCTTGGGACCCCAACTTGAGCAGTTACATGGGTCCAAGCATCCAGATTTTAAAAGCGTAGTGCTATCTCTGATTTTAACCTTTCTTGAATGTTCAATTCCCACTCATTGAAACAGTTGCTTGTCATAACTTACTTGGATGGAGAGGGGTTGCTGAAGTTTCTTTTCTTTGGCGGATGTCTGTAACAAAATATTTTAATTTTTTTTAAAGTTTTTAATTTTATTTATATTTTGTAAAAAATATATAGTAGCTTGGTTGTAGCACAGGCATGCACTTTCTAATATATTTCTGGTCAGGTATCCTATAAATATCGCATCATTCTGATTGCCTGTTGGAGCAAGTGGTATATCTGAAATATTTCTGGTATTTGTAATCCTTACCCTTTCCTCTTGGGTGACTTGGAAAGTATCTCGATTTTGTTGCTAACCGTGTCATAATGTCTATCAATTGCACTACTTTCTTGCATCACAGTATCATTATTTGCCTTCAATGGAGATGTAGTTCTATTGCCGACAACGTCAATCAAAGGGACTTCTGTGGAGTCGGAATTATCTGAACACGTACATACAAGTGAGCCTGAACTTGGAGTTTGCACAGTTGTAGTAAGAGAACATTCTTGTCTGAAATCATTTGAAAAAGTTGAAATTGAAGTGTTGTGTTGTTTTGACATTTGTTGGTGACCAGAATAGCTTTGAAGTGGTTGGCCACTTGGTACATTACGTCCAGAATTGTCAATATTCTTTTGGGGCTGTTGCTTCTCAAGTGAGGTACTGGACACGATGTGCCCTGGGTTATTCCTTGAACTAGGAGACAGTGTCAGGTCAATACTGGCTGTCRCTGGAGTAGATGGTACCCTTGGTGAGTCAGTAGCTGTTGCACTTGGAAAAACATGGTGACTTCCATTTGAAATGGATACAAAGTCTTGTTTGTTCTGTGAAGGATTTTTCTTATGTTTGCTGTTTGCTGTTGTGTTTAGGTGGCTGGACACAGGTCTTGCTGTTTGTAGATTGAAGGCACATCTTCTATCTATTATATGAAAAAAATGTTTTTGATGTCAATGAATGGTTACTGCCTTAAACCCATACGCAATGCCTTTGGACATCATTGACCCCTTTTTAGAGATAA